GGGCGGTGACTAGTAAAAGGGGGGCGGTAAATAGCAATCCACTAAAATAAATAAGACTTATTGTGAAAAGACAGGCGCATCCCCCCCTCTCGAGTATTTATTTGTGTGCTTTACACCTGAAGCCTTAGGTATGTTTGGTTCAAATGAGGGAAGGGGAGGGGAGAGAATTTAATGGAAGGGAGGAGAGGGAGGGGAAGAGAGGGAAAATAATTCATCTTGTTTGGATGAATTTTGTAGGATGAGAGGTGAAGGAAAATGATTAACCTTGTTTGGTTAGAAGATGGAAGGGAAGAGAAAATAATGTTAGAATGACAAATATATCCTTAATGATGTAAGGAACAAAAAAAATAAAATAATTCACAGTAAGGTCAAAAGAGTAATTTGTTGTTAAAATTTTCCTTCCCCTCCAAATTCCCTCACTTTTGGAGGGGAGAACATTTTCCTTTGGAGGAGGAAATTGAAAGGAAAATTTAAACTCCTCTCCCTTACAAAAAATTGAACCAAACAAGGGGAAATAAAATTTTCCCTCCCCTCCCTTCCCCTCCCCTCCGTTTCTCCCCGAACCAAACATAGGCTTAAGGATGAAAAAACAAAATTGAGATCTAATTTGTTTTTTTTTTTTTTCGAGGAAAGGGGAAAATAGAAAAAATTTCTACGTATATGAAGCCGCAGCACAGCATCATTAGGAAAAGAAGAAATAAATAAAATACCTAATTTATTTTTCAATTGCGTCATTAAGAATACCGACACTTTTAAAACTCCTAAAAAGTCTAAATTAAAAGGGGTGTATTTGATTGGGATTTTGAGTGACGAAATTTTTGAGATTTAGGATTTTTTAAGATTCTCAGATTTTGGAGGAATCTTGTGAAATCATAAGTATGAGGATGATATTTGGAATTGAATTTCGTATATGTTTTTTTCTTTAGAAATCCAAACAAGTCTTAAAAAAATCTTAACAAATCCTTGTCTCAAATAATTAAATACCTCAAGATTTTGTAAGACATTTTAAAATCCGTATTGAATATCTAAACATTTTTAAAAGTTTTGATAAGTTTAACTTAAATACGCCTAAAGAATAAAAAAGTCTTTAAAAGTCATTAGAAATCCTAATTGAATATACTTCCGTAAATATGGGATATTATATGGGATATTATATACACAAGGCTAAACCGGTCTGCTCAGCCGGTCGAGAAGATCAAACCAAGAGGAAGCCAAGCCAAAAGGCGGGAGGATCGA